TTATATTGTTTTGTGTATATATATATATTAATAAATATATATTTCTAGTGTTCCTTAGTCCTCCCTTTAAAAAATTGTTTCCTTCTGGCATGGTTTCCCTTCGGCCTGACAGACTTCCTTTATATTTCTTGAAGTACAGATCTGGAGGTAATAAATTCTCTGGTTTCCTTTCATGTGAAATGATGTTCCACCACATTCTGTCCTTCATAGTTTAAGATGGGAAGTCTTAAACTTTCTCTAGCTACTTTCAAGATCTTAGCTTTCCTTTGGCTTCCTCCGTTGAACTATGATACAGTCATCTTCATATTCTCTTTGGGATTTACCATTTGTCTTAAGTCTGGGGAGTCGTCTGCTATCATTTTAGAAAAACACTTTTTTGCTCTATTCTTTCTCTTTTTCTTCTGAGGCTCAAATTATATTGTGCCAAAGGTCACAAAGGTTATGCTCTTTTTTCAAACTTTGTCTCTTTATTGTTCAGATCAGATAATTTCTATATTCGAGTTCACGGAGTTTCTTCTGGCATCTCCATCCTGCTCTGAGCCCCACCCTGTGAAACTATTTCAGATATTATATTTTTCAGATTTGGAAATTTCATCTAGTTTTTCTTTTCTTTTGTAACTGACATTTTATAGGTTGTTTTGAGATCAATACAGAGACATTGTGTACAATTTGTACACAATTCTTCATGCACGTACCAAAATCCTAAAATGTCATGGAGATGCAATTCTTTTTAAAATTCCTTCACGGAAAGGAGTTGAACAAACAGTTTTCACCTCCTTGTCTGATAATTCCAATATCGACACCCTATCTAACAGGACTGCCGTCTGTGGATTATCTGTTGCCTCAAGAATGGGTCAGGGTTTCTAGGGGTTCACACATCATAGAACTCTCCAGTCCCTTAAAGGACACCCTTGGTAAAGTAGAGGGGTGGTTAAAAAGGAAAAAAAAGGGGGGAAATTCCTCCACGAGATGGACTGAGACAGTGGCTGCAGCAACGGGCTCAAGCATGGGAGCCATTGTGAGGCTGGTGCAGAGCCGGGCCAGGCTTCATTGTGTTGTTGTACATAGGGCGGCCCCGAGTCATTGACGGCACCGAACAACAACAGCATAGTGCCTGCTGGAGGGAAGTCAGGAAGGGGAAATGGGTCTATAGAAGCAGGAATCCTGTAACCTTTCATGCCTTCACCTGCAGGTGAATGACCAAATGAAGTTGACAGTGATGGGGCAGGATTCCATGGTGGTCACCTTCACCTCCCTGAGTGAGACAGTAACCCTCACTGTATCGGCCAACAATTGTCCTCATGGAATACCATCGGATAAACGGGTAAGGCAAAACTGACCAGCACTCCGCTCGGACATCTTAGTGTGGGAATTCATTTTCACCCCGATGCCTTTGCTCATGCTGTTTCCCCAGGGCAGGGCCCTGACTCTTTCTTTGCCTAATGGACTCAGTATTCGAGGCCCAGTCTTGAAATCCTCTTCCCTGTGAACTTACCCTTCTTAGGCTTTTCTAGACGTTAAGTGGCAGGAGCCTGTGAAGACTAGCTTAAGCATGCGTTCGCCTCACAACCCAAAGCCTGTCAGGATCTAGCTTCGGGCATGGCTGAATCCAAGTCCTCACTGTTCCCCTAAAATCTTTCCATCTCTTGACACCTTTTTCCTCTTTATCAGATGTATTGTCGGGAAACTTCTATCCTTAAGATGACATAAAAAATTAAATTTTAAAAAGATGAAATGATGCTCATGAGCACCTCTGGGCTATTATTCAACCAGCTTTCATCTTCCGAGGAGAAATAGGGCTTCTCTTTCCCAAATGCTTCAGTACAAGTGCCAGTTTTGAAACTTCCTGGCTCCACTGACTGTCCATGGCCGAAGCATCCTCTGTGACCAGGGTGTGTGTTCCTCCTCTTCCCCAGGCTGCAGTCTCTTGCCCATCCTGGGAGCCAACCGGTGAGATCAGCCCTAAGTGGCTCTCCAGGACTTAAGTACGAGGAATAGTGTTTCCCTAAAGGAAAAATCATGAGGCTGGTGGCATAGTGGTTACACATTGCACTGCTACCTATAAGGTCTGATGTTCAAAACCACCAGCCCCTCAGAAAGATGAGACTTTCTACTCCCAGAAGGACTTCCAAAGAATAAAGCCCCTAACTCACTGCCACAGAGTCAATGCCACCTCGTAGAGAACCCATAGGACAGGGTAGAACTGTTCCTATGAGGTTCTGAGACTGTAACTCTCTCTAGGAGCAGAAAACCCCATCTTTCTCCCAAGGAGTGGATGGTAGTTTCTTAACTGCTAACCTTGAAGTTAGTAGCCCAACGTGTAACCTCTGTGCCACAAGGGATCCTGTGATGCTGGAGGCTGTGCCCATAGTTCAAACGGTCATCAGATCTCAGTGGAGCTTCAAGACTAAGACAGAGTACAAAGAAAGACCTGGCAGTGATCTCCTTCTGAAAAACAGCCAATAACAAGCCCATGGACACAGCCTATCAGACACAGCATCGTCTGATACAGTGCTAAAAAGGAGGCCCTGGAATGGAAGGCACTACAATGGCTGCAGAACAAAGGCATACATCCTGGCTCTCATGACAGTGCTGTGGGCTGGCCAACACCGCTCTATTGTACACATGGTCTCCATGAGTACAATAAACAACAAATGTTTGTTGGATGAATGAGATCACAGCAGAGCCATCCATTCACTCGGTCTTTATTAACCCTGTTTCATGCCTGACTCTGGGCCAAAAGCAGAGGGAGAAAAGGTGGAGGTGGAGAGGAGAAGAGAAGCACAGTCACCAGTGCCTGAAGGGTGTGCCATCTAGAAGGAAAGGTTTGTCACAGAAGCACTGGGACAACCAAGCGTTCAGACGGCTGGTGAAAACCATTCTCATTCCACTAAAGACACTTCATCAGGACAGATTTGTTTAGGGAGGACTTCTTGGAACAGGAGCGGGATGGCTATAGCTCCCACTTTACGTGGGCCAGCCTCCACTTAAATCTGCCAGCCTGATAGACTTATTAATAGCCCCACTTGTCGCTCTCAGAGTTTTCCAGTTTGATGATAAACCCTGTGGTCATCTTGGAAGCCGTGGAGGCAGTGTCACATCCTGCCTAAGTCTGGAGACCTGCAGAGCTGACTAGTGTGCCACTTATTGTGGAGTTAAGCCTGACTCGTGGTGACCCAGATGGAGTAGAACTGTGCTCCACAGATTTTCAATGGCTTAGTCTTGAAAGTAGATCATTCATCCTTTTTCCCAGTGCACCTCTGGCTGAGCTCAAACTTTCAGCCTTTTCATTAGCAGCTCGGTTAGCCATTTGCACCACCTGGGGACTCTACAGTTGACATAACATCTAAAAAACCTTCCGTGCCATTGTTTTTGCTTTACTCCAGGAGACTAAGGGAGGGTTTGCTGAGAACAATGTTGACTGTTGCTCCAGGAGGAACAATCAGCATCTATGTTTTCCACTGCATTTCCGACTCAGCAGCATTTCAACTTCATTAATTCATTAATGAATCAATTAGCCCTTGCACTGCGGATGATATGAACCAAACCCACTACCGTTGAATCAATTCTGACTCATAGTAGAAGGTAGAACTAGTTTCCAAGGTGGTAACTCTTTATACAAACAGACTACCATCTCTTTGTCCTGTGGAGCGCGGGCGGGTTCCAGTTAGCAGAAGAGAGCTTTAACCATTGTGCCACCAGGGCTCCTAAGTGGCGGATGGGATATAGAAATGAAGAAGTTACACTCCCTCTCACCTCTGAGATAGTTTTAGTCTATTGGAAGGGACCAAAACACCACCACCAGTTCTAATCCTGCTTGATGAGCGCGGTGTGCCAGAGAGAAGAGTGCTGGGTCTGGGGGAGGGAGGCAAGGAGAGAACAGTGTTCATTGAAGGTGTCTCAGGAGAATTCTGAGGAATGCAGATGCCAGTGAATTCAACCTAGTCTGGCTTTATTTCAAAGACCAAACTATGCATAGAGTGTTCAGTTCACCTTGAGATTAGGAGCCCTGGTGGCAAGTTATACGTTGGGCTGCTAGCTGCAAGGTCATCACCTGGAAACTAACAGCAGCTCCTCTGAAGAAAGAGGAGGCTTTCTGCTTCTGTAATAATTTACAGCCGAGGAAACCCACAGAGGCATTTCTGCTCTGCCCTAAAGGGCCATTATGAGTCAGAATCCACTCAGTAGCCCAGAGTTTTTTGGGTTTGGGTTTTTAGTTTGGGCTAAGAGAAATATCAGGTTTATGGATAATCCATAAGGGATTATCATTGCTGACATCAGCTGGATCTTGATTGAAAGCAGAGGACACCAGAAAGGGTACTTGTATTTATTGACTATGCAAAGATAGTTGACTGTGTGGATCATAGCAAACTATGGGTAACATTGCACAGACACACAAAAGGAATTCCAGAACACTTCGTTGTGCTCACGAGGACCCTATACATAGACCAAGTAGCAGTGGTTGGAACAAAACAAAGAAATACTGCATGATTTGAAAGCCAGTAAGGGTGTGCATCAGGGTTGTATCCTTTCACTATACCTGTTCAATCTATATGCTGAGCAAAGAATCCTAAAATCTGGATTATATGAAGAACAAAACATCAGCATTGGCTGGAGACTCACTGGCAAGTTGTAATGAGAAGATGACACACCCTTGCTTGCTGAAAGTAAAGAGGTCTTGAAGCATGTCCTGGTAAGATCCAAGACCACCAAGCCTTGAGCATGTATTCCACCTCAGTGTGAAGAAGACAAAAGTCCTGACAACAGCATTGTGCTAAGTGGAGAGCAGATCGAAGATGCCAAGGGTTTTGTTTTAGTTGGAGTCACAATGAATGTGCATGGAAGCAGCACTCCAGAAACCAATGTATTGGTGAAGAAAGCTGATGATGCCCAGCTATCAAAAGATATAGTGTTTGGGGTCTTAATGGCTTGAAGGTAAACAAGCAGCCATCTAGCTCAGAAGCAACAAAGCCCACATGGAAGAAGCACACCATCC